TTGTCATGTTACAACCTCTCTGAGCCTCAGGTTCCTCACCCATAAAATGAAGAGATCATAGATTTTATAATATCTTAAGTTCTCTTCCAAGTCCATAATTCTTTCCACTGATTAAACGGTAAAAGGACTTCAAGGATAAGGAAGAACAAGATATGGAAAGCTTTGCCTGAATATACAGTCAATTTTGTTGTACCACGTTTTGAAAATGCAATTTGTTCTAATGCCAACTGATGTATTAGGGAACAATTTGAGCACAATTCAATATATGCATTTGCTTATCTATCATTTTATCCACAAGAAAAACAGAGTGAATCCAGAAAACTGCACACAGTTGAACCCTTCAACATGAGAATATGCAAAGTGCATGTAAAAACAACTCAAAGACCTGCCAGCTTCTTCAGTTCACTGTGTATTAAGAGCCACATCCATCATATTTGGTATTATAACTTTATGTCATATTTCAAAGAACCTTTCACTAGTTCACAAGCTGCAAACCTTCCAACACCACTTCCACAAGCAAACTTGAGGTCTTTTGCAAGGTCAACAAAACATATCTTCTAAATTCAGACCTTGATTCTGGCCAAAAATCTTGGCATGTATCAGTGTAAAAATGTTACCTGCTCAATAATGGAATGTTCAATAACTACTCAATACTTGCCATGAAAGAATATAAAAGCAAAATTATTTCTGCAACCAATATATATAAAAGCCTAATATGCAAAGTGTCCCCTCGGGAGTTTGACTGACCAGGGGTTTGATCACTCGCCATGACATGTGCTGACCACCAGGGGGCAGCGTGGATGAAGGAAGGCCAGCAGCCAGCAGCCGCTAGGGACCCTACCCGTGCACAATTTTCATGCACTGGGCCTCTAGTATAGTTATAACAATGCAGTAGAAACCACAGAACCTTTATAAACACTCCTTCCTAATTCCTGATAAACTCAGAGGCAAAGGGGCTAGGGAAATAAAGGAGGTCTTACGTGTTAACCAGTCATACTAGAAACAGGAGACAGACCCAAATCACTTAGCACTGAAGGGTTGGCTCTCCCGTCACTGAGAGACAAAGGGCAGATAAAAACAATGTTGCTATTTAGCATGCTCAGGAAAGAAAGATAACATAATTACTTTGCCTTTTTGAATGAACCCAGACTTAAAAACCAGGACTGATACCCGAAGTAACAAGCATAAATGTAGTACAGCATGGCCTCCTCTGTGTTGGGCAAAGTTATTTAGCCATTACAGTCTTGACCCTGGCACCATTTCTTAAAAGCTACAGCACTATTTAAAAGAGGAAGAGAGAGGTTAGAGAGAGATAGAAACATAAATGATGAGAATCGTTGATCGGCTGCCTCCTGCACACCCCACACTGGGGATCGAGCCTGCAACCTGGGCATTGAGCCCACAACCTGGGCATGTGCCCCGACTGGGAATTGAACAGTGACCTCCTGATTCACAGGTCGATGCTCAACCACTAAGCCATGCCAGCTGGGCTACAGCACTATTTTTAAAAATAGTTGAGATTTTTGTTAAAATATAAATATGTTATATATGTATATAAGAGAAAAAAGTAGAAGGAAAAACATCAAAGTGCTAATGGCTTAATATGTATTTAATGAGATTATAGATGATTGCTTTTCTTATTGACAGCTTTCATTATTTTATAAATAAATGTATATTACCGTTACCATGAGAGGAAAACAAAATCTTTTTTAAAAATATTTTTATTGCCCTAACTGGCTTGGCTCAGTGGATTGAGCGTCGGCCTGTGGACTGAAGGGTCCTGGGTTCGATTCCAGTCAAGGGCATGTACCTTGGTTGCGGGTGCATCCCCAGTGGGGGATGTGCAGGAGGCAGCTGATCGATGTTTCTCTCTCATCGATGTTTCTAACTCTCTATCCCTCTCCCTTCCTCTCTGTAAAAAATAAATAAAATATATTTTAAATATATATATATTTTTATTGATTTTTCTTTTTTTTAGAGAGAGAGAGGAAGGAAGAGGAAGAGAGAGAAACACTGATGTAAGAAACATTAATTGGCTGCCTCCTTCATGCCCCCTATTGGGGATGGAGCCCGAAACCTGGGCATGTGTCTTGACAGGGAACCAAACCAGCAATCTTTCAGTGCACAGGATGATGCCAAGCCAACTGAGCCACACCAGCCTGGGCAACAAATATCTTTTTAAACAGTTAACTAAAAACAAATGAATTCCTGATCATAGTACATGTAGAATTCACAATAAGCCATCAAACCTCTCTTCTATTTTCCAAAGGGTCAAAGGTGAGTGGACTGGATCTGGAGGGCACTTCCCCCACCTGCAGGAAAATTCAAAGAGAACCCTGCAGGGAAACTCTCAACAGGAAGGCAGATGAACACAATGATAGCCACTGTATACTCAGCAGATATATCTGAGTTGTTTGTCCCTGCTTTTATCAGCCAGCATTTTGGTGACTCCTATAAGTATTCCCAAAAAATCTTCACCTTTTGAGTATAGCTAATATAGAGCCACTTAACCAAATTTAACCGTGTCTGGCAGCAAAGAATATGGAAATAAGATCTAACTAGAGACAAGTGCCTAAAGCCTAAGAAATATACGCAAGGCCACTGGAGATTTTATAGTCAGCTTTCTTCACATCACTATAGTCAACATCACTAGCCCAGCGATGATCAACATTCATCCTTCAAGCAAGAAATTATCTATAGGCGAACTAGTAGATATACAGCACTATTCTAGATGCTGTAGTGAATACGAAAAGAATAAGGTACAGTGATTCTATTTATAGCAGTTACTATCTTATGGGGAAAGATATTACATACATATCAGAAATATTTCAATAACATAAGACAACAAAATTAAATGGCTAAATGAGCTGTGCAGGTAAATATTTAAGGGACTTAAGAAGGACTGCTCACTATGGACTTATAGTTGGGAAAGATTTCAGAGAAGAGAGTGTTGCTAGTATCAGAAGGAAGATAAGTGTGGTCATTCAGATAAGCAAAGTCATTGGAATAGAAAAGGCAATGATTTCCGTGCCAAAGCCGAGCCGGCCTGGGGGTGCCTGCGGGGTAGCAAGGGCTCCCCGTCTAGGCGAGCCCGATCTGCCAGTCCCTGGGACTCCTGAGATAATCTCTCTGTCCCTCTCCCACCCATACACACACCACACACGTCCACACACGCCCCTCTCACTTCTTTACTCTGTCACACTCTCGCCTTCTCTGCCATCCTGTTGGCCACCATATTCCATAATATTTTCTTAATATTACACAAATGCCTGTAGGTTCTATAATGATATCTCCACTTTAACTTCTTATATTGGTAATTTGTGTCTTTGCTCTTGATCAGTCTAACTAGAGATTAACTAATTTTATTGATATTTTTAAAGATAAGCATAATGTGTATGATTTCCTTAATTTCAAGTGTACCGAGATTTCTTTTATGGTTGAACATATAGTCTAGCTTTGTGAACGTTTTATATTCTCTTAAAAGGCAAAGATAGATGAGCCTGGATGTACTGAAATAAAAACCAGGTGAGGGAACAATAAAAGTAAGGAAGGAGAGATAGATTTGGGCAGATTTTAAATCCTCTTAAGTGGTTCCTTTATATCTAATCCATCTCATAAGCCATTAATTAAGAACATCTGTGGGAAAATCAATGTATCAAACACTATGCTAAATATATCAGAGAAATATAATATCTGATCTCATAACAATCTTCCAAAGTAGGTATCATTATTGTCATTTTCCAGATAGAAACTGAAATTAGTTAAACAAAGAAGTTAACTAATTTGCCAAAGATCACTAAGATAAGCGACGGAACTAGGATTTGAACTCAGACCGGACTCCAAAGCCCATGCTCTTTTTGACTACCTTATGCTAGCTCTTCCTAAAACATCACTCAATTTATATCTTCCCCATTATAGTGTATTCTCCCACTCTTAAGTATCCAGTGTCCCCATGGTGATGTGATCCCCTGTACATCAAAGCCTGCTCTCAGCTAAAATGAGAATGACCAATAACAGATTACCCTGCCCAGGGCTACTTGATGTTGTTACAGGAATCGGAGGCTTAAATTAGAAGGAAACTCTAATACAAGCCACTTAGGGGCGTACATATCTTACCTTCTCAGAGGGCCAGACCAAGTTTGTGCCTTATGATGTTCACTTTCATAGCTTATAGCTAACGCTCACACAATAAGAATCTCACTCATAAGCCCTGAGGGTCTCCTTGGAAGTCTAACCAGTCCCAGCCCAGGAGACAAAGGCCAGATGTGGCTGCCAGTGGCTTCGGAAGGGAACCGGGACCTGGCGTTCCACATTTCAAGTATACGACATAAGAAAACCTAAACAAAATGTATTTGACATTTAAATTGTTCAATGTTGCCCAAAAATGTGCTTTCTAATAATTCTATAAAATAATATTTTACTGACTCTGGGAACCAGGAGTACTATCTTTATTGCTCTCACCTTTTCCGCAATCAAGGATTTTACTGGTACCAAATGGTGTCATCTTTCAAAGACACTGAAATAAAACCCACATAGAATCTCAGAGTGAGTGAAGACGAGTGGGTAGAAGAGTGCAGTCCTGAGAGACATTGCTCCATGGATGGGCTGTGAAAATAGCCCTCACTGACTGTCCATTTGCTAAAACCAGGATATACTACTTGTTAAGTCAAAGGGCTACTGATAACTTGAAAGTTCCCCACCAAGTATTTTAATGGACCAAGGAATGAAAAGAGTTTCAGAATGTGTTTTAAGATGATAAGTCAAATTCAACATATAAAAATTTCCAGCCCAGCTCAGAAAATATATTGAGTTATATGTCTTACATAGAAAATAAAGGTGATAATTTGAAAAATAAAAGTGATACTGTTCATTTTTTCTCAACAAAGTTGTTATAGCCCTCACCCCAAAGAAAACACTTTTAAGAAATTCCCATTTTATCAACGTTCTAACATGTTTGCCAACAGCCTTTCAAAGTAGTGAAAAGAGAATGTTCCCCTTACATATCTGGATGGCTCCTCTAGGTTCTGGTCGTTCATGTCAGTAGGAACAAGCCGGGTGGCCAGTGGTCCCTCTGCAAAAGGTTTTGGTAACTGCCCCCTGAACTCTGATGGAATGAATTGAAGTTGCCAACTGTCAGAAACACAAATAAGGATAATAAGAAAAACACAGAGGGCCCATATTGCTAATGTTCTTGAAATGAACAAGCCCCCCCCCCCCCAAATCATGTAAAAATATTTCATTTCACTTGGAAAAAAGATATTTCTACTGAAACCTCAACCCGGGAGCATAGAGGCAGAGGTCACAATTCAGTCCAAACTCGTTGAGAAATGTTAAACTAGAGGTCTCTCAACCCATTTCACCAGCTCTCAGCAATGACTGTGTAACCAAATGTTCATACCATCAAACAACCAGAGAAGCACCAGTTAATTGCCAGTTACCCCTTATCCAGATCACAGAAAATTCATCGGGTATATAGAGAAAAGAGTGAAATGTAAAAACTCACTATGGGAGAAGGACTTGTTCCTAAGTAATCTTCAAAAATATCTTTAGTTATGAAACTATTTTATAACTAAAGGTAAAGTCAACACTTAAAAAATAAGTATTGATTTAATTATTAATGGCTGATAACAGGATCTTTACCAAGCACAAGATAACACCAGTCCCCAAATGGAGGAAAATGACTCTTAACCTGACTTCCCTTTTCCCCAAATAGGACTCTTCTCCATCCAAATTAAGCAAATACAAGGAATCCCAGAACCTAATGCTATCACAATAGACAGCTTAAAGGAAAGTGGCACAGCTGTCTTGACCACAGCTCCCCCTAGTGTCCATACATAGGTGCAACCTTCTAGTGTTGTTAGATGACATTTCTTCTCTAAAAACACTCTTCTTGCTAAAGTTTCTAGACCACTTTTAGAAGTGAATTAATATCAGATCCCTATAGAAATTTAAATATGAATCCTTAGGAAGAGCCACTGGCAGGAGCCCAGGGCCCAAAGTGGTTTTAGAATTCCCCAGAGCTCTGTGGTTAAGGGCAGTGCAGGGTGCACAACCAAACACAGCATTCGGTCCCCTGAACAGAGGCAATGGGTGCACAGTGCAGGTCCCACAGCTCTCTGAGATGGTAACAGAAAAACTTTTTGTGAAAAATGCCCCCAAAAAAGAAAAATTAAGAAGACATTGACATAGATTTGCTATTTTACTCTGATTTAAAACTCGGATTAAAGGACAACTTACTTATCGGGCAGAAGGAAGCTGCTAGGAAACCGATACCACTCTTTTCCTACACAGACGTTAACAGGTCGGCCTTCTGGGACAGTGTGGATGGTTGGGTCTGTAGCAATTCGGTAAAATTCTGGATACAAATCAAGGGGCCCATGATACCCTGGAAGGAAAAAAATTGAAAGTTTTGTGAAAGCCAAAGATGAGTAAGTAACATGAGGTTCCGATATTTACTTATGATACATGTTAATGTCCCATTTTAATCTATGTGAAATTACAGATTATAAGAAAACATATAAATCAGGAATTGAGCCTCAAATCTAATCCTAAGTTTAAAACTTCCTTAACTCATCCTTTAAAAAGAAAAGATATCCTTTGAAGGGGAAAAAATCACTAAGAATAGAGAAAAAGAACTACAGGTAATCACACTAAAAGGAATTCTCAATCTTCTCTTCAATCCTAAAATACAAGACACACCCCAGTCTTAATATTTAAGTCCACAGGCCACCCTATAGAAAAGTCCTCCCAGCTCAAGCTGCGTTGCACTAACAATCACACATTAAGCAAAACCCAAGATGAATTGCCTCATGAGTATAGATTAAGACATTCTCAGTACACCTACCTCTGAACAGGGCCACAGAGCGAGAAAAGGATAAGAGTCCAAACAGGAAGAGTGTTCCTAACGCCAGCCAATTTGAGGTCACAGTGTAATGCTCTAGGCGGTACCGCTGAAACACGAAGTGGTAGCATTTCTAGAAGGAAAGAAAACTATTAAAAAAAGATATACCTTGCAGAGTATGCACAATTAGAAAACATCATAGCAAAACAAAGATGGAAAAAGCAGCAAAAGAGGTTCTATCAAGGGGCTCAGAACTTGCAAACATTTAGTGAGGTACCCACTCCAAATTCTAAGATAAAGACTATCTTAGGGTCAGCCTGGCCAGAGCGTTTCTCAAGAATGAAATCTCAGCCCTAAACGGTTTGGCTCAGTGGATAGAGCATCAGCCTGCGGACTCAAGGGTCCCAGGTTCGATTCCGGTCAAGGGCATGTACCTTGCTCGCGGACACATCCCCAGTAGGGAGTGTGCAGGAGGCAGCTGATTGATGTTTCTCTCTCATTGATGTTTCTAACTCTCTATCTCTCTCCCTTCCTCTCTGTAAAAAATCAATAGAATATATTCTTAAAAAAAGAATGAAATCTCAGTAGCTTCATAGGAAAATTATTTGGATATTTCTTTAATTCTTTAAATGCTAATAATTTATTTTTAAAAACTATGAAATGTCCAGATTAGGCAAATCTACAGAGATACAAAATAGATGAATGGTACCTAGGGCTGGGGAGATATGAGAAAGGGGGGTGACAACAGTTAAAGAGTACAGTTTCTGAGGTGATGAAAATGTTCTAAAATTGACTGTGCTGATGGTTACACATATTTGTGGGTATACTAAAAACCACTGAATTGTATGCTTTAAATGGGTAAACTGTATGGTTTGTGATTATATCTCCATAAATCTGTTAAAGAGAAAACCTCTTACCCTAATTATTCTTTCCTGTCACTTGCAAATGGTAGCAGAGGTCAAAAAAGAGTCTGGAGGCTTCTGAGGCCATAAATACAGAGATATTCAAGATTAATTCTAACAGGGAATTGATCTAAACTGGGTTTAACTGCCTGATGTTATTTCAAACAGTTGAACAGGTTTTATTCTGATCTCACTGTTGAAGAGCAGACATTCTTTTAGCTCTGCTGGGGTACCACCATTCTATGGGAGGCCCATTCAATGATTTAAAAATACTTGGATTCTTATTGGCAACAGAGACAAATAACTCTCAAATCAATACTGCAAATATGTAATCAGCAAAAAAAGAGTACAATCAACAGCTAAGTGAGCACTACATAAAGCCTTAATAACATGATCTGTATCAGGCTTAATGTACAGTTAAATACCTTCAGTGGAAGCATTTTGTAATTTGCCTGTAAGCTTTAGGAATAATTTAAAAAGTGAAGCAGAATGAAGCAGATATCTACTTCCCTGAAACCCACCTGAAGTGCAGAAAGGGCCACAGCACCGCAGAGACATATAAGTGGATATACAGGGAAAAGAAATCGCTCTTCTTTGTGAGGCTGGGTGAAGAAAATTATAAACCAAATATACATTGGAGCCAAGGTAAGCCAATATGGGTGGCCTAAATTCTGAACTGTAAAACACAGAAAAATATCCGCCTTTCACCATATTAGAAAACAACATATTGAGTTTCAATGTTCTCTTGATCTCAAACATGAAAATATGCCCTAGGGCACCCCATAAAATGTTTCATTTCTTGTGTTCACACTTTCTCCGATGCAATAAAGAAGTTGAGTAAAAAGAGGTATATACTCTTAGCTCTCCCAAGAGATCCAACATGGAAAGGGAGGCACAATACTGGATCTGGCTAGAATAAATGAAAGTCAGGTGAATGGGCAATAGAGCTTCATTTGTACATTGAATGAAAAAAAAAAAGCCTTCTCTCTCTAATGAGTCCTGCCACTAAGACTAAAGGTTCCTGAGATTAACCAAAAGCATAACATAAACTCATTTTTTGGGTTTTAATTCCTATGTTCTTTTTAATATGTTACTCTTCTTACTTATACACCAGCGGTCTGTTCAAATAGCTACATATTAAAGGAAAGAAAAAGAGCAGGATTCTTAAACACATCACTGTTTTTGTCAAACCACAAATGACAAAGAGTTTGTTTCTAAGCAAATATAAAAACACTCTTAAAGGGAGTTTACTGATCAAGTTTTCTTTTCTCTTCTGCAAATATCCATCTACTCTGAATCCCAAAATTGGAACCAAAATGTACTTAAAGCGTATGAAAGAATTAAAGAAATTTAATGAACACTAAGACCAGGCACATGCTGGAAAGGTGCTGTGGTTAGGTACATGAACACTTAGTGATAAGCCTGAAGGCATCCCCTACTGTGCTTCTGTTAGTGATAATGAGCAGTACATAGATCACTAGCAAATAGTAGATAGAGAGCGCCCCCTAGTGTCCATTTTGTCTGTAATGAGCAAGTTCAGATGAAATGATTGTCCTTAAGATCCAACTTAAAAATAAAAATTTTAAAATTTGATTTTTTAAAATAAATTTTTAAAATCCACCTTAGGATGCCTAATTTAGCACTCCTAATTTATTTGTATTTTTGAAGAAACTCCTCAGGGATAAAAATTTTTAAACTGCAACAAGCTTATCCTTAAACTTTCAACTCTAAGATTTTATCATGAGATTTCAGGTTATAATTTAGAATTTATCCCTTCCCAGGAAATAGTTTAGGTTGAAATTTTCTTAATTGAAAGAAAATAAGTACAAGTAAACAATCTTTTTCTATTCTGTATCTCAAAGGTGAACAAATATATTTTTAAATATGACCTAAAATTTTGAAATGTCCCCCATATAATATGCAAAATCATAATCACAGTTGTACTGCATGATGGAATATATGGATCACTTATTTCCTACTTCTTTATATTTTCCTGCTTTTTCTTTGTAAAAAGTACTGTTCCTATTATAAAATAGACAAAAAAAAGTATAACTAAAAACAGAAAGCACTTATTTTCTTACTAGGTGGATATGTGTGTTATTATACATTTTTAAACCAAAATTGGATTCATACTGTAGGAAACAGCTTACTATACTGTTTTTATATTTACACTAGAGGCCCGGTACACAAAATTCATGCACTCAGGGGGGTCCCTCAGCCCGGCCTGTCCCCCCTCGCAGTCCAGGAGCCCTCGGGGGATGTCCAACTGATGGCTTAGGCCTGCTCCCAGCCAGCAGTCGGACATCCATAGTGCTGCTGCGGAGGCAGGAGAGGCTCCCACCACCGCCACTGCGCTTGCCAGCCGTTTACACTAGAGGCCCGGTACACAAAATTCATTCACTCAGGGGGGTCCCTCAGCCCGGCCTGTCCCCCCTCGCAGTCCAGGAGCCCTCGGGGGATGTCCAACTGATGGCTTAGGCCTGCTCCCAGCCAGCAGTCGGACATCCATAGTGCTGCTGCGGAGGCAGGAGAGGCTCCCACCACCGCCACTGCGCTTGCCAGCCCAGCTTCTGTCACACTGACCACCAGGGGGCAGCTTCTGTGTTGAGCGTCTGACCCCTGGTGGTCAGTGCACGTCATAGTGACCGGTCGTTCTGCCATTTGGTCTATTTGCATATTAGCCTTTATTATATAGTATTACAAGCATTTCCAAATTTTCCACAAGCATAAATTATTTTTTGTGATTAACAGATGAGTGGATTAAAAAACTGTGGTACATCTACACAATGGAATACTACGCTGCGGTAAAAAAGAAGGAACTCTTGCCTTTTGCAACAGCATGATGGAACTGGAGAGCATTATGCTAAGTGAAATAAGCCAGTCAGAGAAAGATAAATACCACAT